ATAATTCTCTCCTCTTTTCTCTGTCTATTCCCGAATTACTTTTCAAATCAGCTAATATCGATACAACCAATAAGATCTATGTAGCTGGATGATTATTTATGACTATTAAGGCGAAAATCGCTTCTCAAGTTATTTCTTAAAGGATCTGTGATGCGTTTATTGTGCGAACCAATTTTTTTATTTGCAGATACGGGTTACCGTCCTGATATACTAGTAGTTATGGTCTATAGCATTAGTCTGACCGACTTAGTTCCTTACACGTTGATCGTGAATTAAACTTCACAGTCATGCTGTTTTTTTGGATAAAAAACGTTTTCTTCGGGCTAGTGATCTTAGCTTTGATTTCGGTTCATTTGGAGGTTTGCATCAATAATTTCTCATCGTGTTTAGTTATGTATCATTGCATTCGATCTATAGATTGGTATCTTATCCATTCATTTCAACAATTCTTCAACCATACATCATCCAATCATATCCTAATACATTACGATCCCTGAAAACGAAATTTGGGTTATTGTTTTGTTTATGTTTTTCATAAATTAGTACCCCATCATACTGGGTAAACGTTTTGCTATTTGTGATTACGCTAATCAGATTATAACTATTTTGTAAACTCTGAAGTACTAAAGTCGTATTTTCTCAAACATGATTACATATTAAAGTGGACTAGTGGATTTCATGGGTCAGTGGGATGAAATTCGGTTAGGTAACTAACTAACACGTTGACTCATATGTATTTACTTATCCCAATTTTATTTATATTTCTGCAATCAAATAAGACCATAATTAAAAAAGTGTAATTTTTAGGTTCATAACTGTTTGAACATGGCAGTAATAATTTTTTTTTAAAATATTCAATTTACCAAACAAAACATTATTAGTCTCTTGACTTGGTCACAGATGCATCTGTAGTCTACGTATTATGTACTTGTTAGTTCTTCAAGCTTTCTGCGAGAAATTGATATTATCATGTGTTCAATTCCTTCTTTACATAGTTAAATATTTTATTCGCTAAACTGGACTGATTATATCTTTTAAACTCTAGAAATATAATATTTCTAGTTAATGATGCATACCTGAGCACTTTGTTGATCATAATATATTTTCATATAGTATAATCATTCTAGTATTTCTCTTTGTCGTCTATATTTAACTAAATACTTTAACAACAAACGGTGTTTTTTTATCTGTATAATGGGAAATCCAACTTCTCATTGATTATAACATTCGTATTGTGGTTCAACTTTACTACCACTGCCTTGTTAGGGCTAGTTAATTTGGTTTACTACATTGCGGCACAAGTCATGTGTGCAGTCTGTAAATATGGGCTCGTAAATTAAAAGTAGTGAGATCTGGTCCATGATTTGAATTAAAAAGAGGAAATGACTGCTGGGTTACTCACCAAGAATTTCATTATAATAAAATTCAGTATTAATTGATATTTATTTCTGTGGTTTCACACTAGGCCATGATTCCAACCTTAATCTGTAAATATATTGTTTTTACTCTTTTCATTTTGTTCATGACGTTAGATGAAAAAGTAGAAGTTGCTTGTCTAGCAAGTGGGTTCCTTGTATTTAAGCATCAGAACTTCTTAGTTAAGGAAAGTTGAACAACCTTGGAGAACGAGTGAACACTAAGCAGATGTTCCATTTTAGTTTGGTAGTCACCAACAGTGCCCTCATGACATTCCTAGGTATCGAACCCATTAGTTCGAGGTTCTTCAATAGGCTACCTCCAGACTAATAATGGCCTGCCACCCAATGATTTACGTTTCCTGTTTTAATTATCTTACATTGCTGTGAGACAATCATGTGTTTACCTACCCCATCAGAGTAGGTAGACTATATTTATGAGTTAATTTATTTATATAAACTTTCGTCATATCTTGAAGATTATTAACTACTTAACTGTTGGAAACTAGATTTTTGATAGAAATTTTACGGTCATAACACTTTTAACTTACGTTCAGAGAAAAGTTTTTTTTTTTTGAGGAAATATCAGCATATCTATCATATTATGATGAAACTATTAATCTGTTATCGCCAACAAATTATTTCGATGCATAAAATCCTACATTTATCCAAACTTCACTATTAAAGTAAATTTGTGTTCATGACATTGGTACTTCTGTAACAACTGTTAGTTGAAAAATTCTGTTTGTTTATATCGTTGTGAATTACGATGATAATTGCGTAGAATAGGTAATCAAGTTCTTGTAGCTTAGTGTTATGATGAAACTAAGCAAACTCATGATAAAGTTTGTGTATACAAGTACACATTTTTATGAAGGATAGTCTTTTCAGCACTATATTTATATATTCCCATGATACATTAAATTCAGAGACCTTAGTTATTAAAAGAACAGAATGTGCATAAACGATGTGAACAAAAACACTTCAAAGGCAATCAATTTAGTAAGATATACTTAAAGATTATTAAGCTTGATCGGGGGAGTAAAAAGAATGGTTTCGGTTCTATTTTACTCTCTGAATATCCAGTCATTGTTCTGTCGGCAGTAATAATAATTGTTCCATTTTTCTGGATATTTTTGCAGTTTCGAAAATAAAACAAATGAGTCCTCGATACACTTCTTATTGCATCGTCAGTGCTTGCTTCCTTAATCTTTGTGACATTATAACAAACAGTATGGATTTTTGTGAATTTTCTATATTTTCATCGAGAGATAATTAGGATAAAATAACACGAGTTAAAGTGATGGATCGTACACTTTTACTGACTTTATCAAATTATTCAGCGTACTACAAAGGTTTGGTTACATAACGTAGGTTAGTAGTTAGTCAAAAAATATTCGAATATCAAGATCGTTTGTTAGTAATATCGTGTTATGTGCACGACATGAAAACGTTGCGCATTCATAAAGACGAGGAAACACATAAACTCTTTGATTCGACATACTTCCTTATGTCTTGGTGAAGTGTTCCTTATTAATTAGCGGAATTTAGGATCTCTTGCGTTCGCCATATTTTGGGTCTTTTTAATGGAAACCAATATCCATTATTTAAACTGTTCAAATTATTTAAGTGAGTAATAATATTGAAATATCTTCAGCTCTTGCTATCTAAGTATACATTTGATGGGACTCTTCTGAGCAGTTCAATCTACTTTAAACCCAAATTCGTGCGAATATATAGTCATAATTAGTTAGTTAAAAAATATTCTCATTGTAAACGATTTGAATTAATAAGTAATCCTTTTTTCTATTTATTTAGGCTTAAGAAAGTTTCATTCAATCAAGCCTTAGTTGCTTTGATTAGGTTCACTGTTATTAGTACATAGATTTTATCTTTAATCAAAAATTATTTGTGTGGTCGACTTCTCTATTCATATCGACAATAATTAATTATCACGGTGGCAAGCCTATATTTGAAGGAAATCACAAGAAAAACTGACTTATATTTAAAGCCATGTATTAACAATAAATAGATTATGTGAACAAAACAGAACAAACATTTCTGTTATTTTTCACTTATTCTATTGGATGCTTCCGACTGAAAACTATGTTTAATTGTTTCACTCCTTTTTATGATTGAAACTGTCTTCCACAAATAAGATTATTTTGATAAACAGAAAAAGATAAATAATTTAGGACTACCATCTGTCATAGATGTCTATTGATTTTGCTGGGCTTCACAGTACACTGAGAGTAAATTAACTAAAAGAAGGGGAAGTAAGGAGTCATTCGGATACTGACTGTACTGGAACAAACAAAAATAAAGAATGAATACACCTCCACAATCTCAGTTGATCTTGAACCGATGTTCGTGGTTTCCAAACATTATGTTTATCCTATGAACCTTAGGAAGTCTGAACTTTTATAGTCTCTTCATGGATTAATGTTATGTTTTGGTCTGGGTACTTCTTTCAACTCTTACAACTTCTTTGGGTCTGCACTGAACAGTAATCTTTTAATCTTCTCCAGAAATGGCCAGTGACCCTTTTTTGTCTATCGTCAAGTTAATTTCGGGGTCGCCACATAAAACAATGTCTTTCTTCCAGTAATTATACTTCTGCTGTTTAGGCCTGTTATCTGATCAGCCATAGGGTTCGGACATTGCGAGTTTTAAAATTGGTTTTAGAGAACTGTGACAGCGTTTTATTAGTTTGAATTGTTTACAACAACTGCTTGATCTTTGTAATTAAGTTATATAAGAGGATGCAATCAGAAAATAATCTAAATTTAAGCTGGTGTGATAAACTATGTTCTTTTGTGTGAAATGGAAACAGTCCTCAGGAAAATTGTTGTAAACGGACAACTCGACGGAAATGAATTTCTGTTTAAACTTGTAACAGACTTATCAAAAATGATGTAAAATTTTAATTGTTTGGAGTATTTATGAAAGATATTTGTGTAATCGTAGCTTAAAGAATAACAAAGTTAATATATGTTACTGGTAACAGTGTATATTACAGAGATGGCACAATGAAATTTTATTTGCTCCAACTATGGAATATTTTTCCATACGAAATTACATTGTTTACTCGTAAACAGACCACTTCAGAATAATGTGCTGTACTTTGTTTTCATATGAATATAAGTGATTCATGATATTTTTTGGTTGTGGGTAGATGTGGAATCCAAGACGCATTTATTCTTACTTGGATGCATCCTGCCACACTGACAGTAAAATTAAGTCGTTTGTATCAATACCATGAAAGGACCAAATCTGTTTCTGTTTATCCGTAATGACAATGCGGAACAATCCTACTAAAGCGAAAGGTGGTTAGTAAGTCTAGCTAATTTGGCTCACAGAGAAACAGGAATTTTTGTGTAATGTATACATAATCTTGACATTTTTGATTTTTATAAACTGCCTGGTTTGAAGCTACATTTTTTATGGTAGTTATAGGAATGTTCGAAACTGCTATCATTCTAACTATCCGTTTAGTTTTTAAATTTTATTGCTGCCTTTGATAAACTAGCTATACATTAAAGTCTCTTTGGATCCTATGTTTTATTTTTGTTTCTGTAACCACAGTTTGACCTGCGGTCATCTTCCTGTTGGTAGCAGTTGGCTCTATTTGGGTACTGATAAGGGCAACGTGAATTTCATAAGTGTTCAACGGTTTACTACATCTGGCTATGTGATTAATTGGAACAAGGCTATCGATCTGTAAGTAAAACACATCAAAATACTTTTTGTTATAACGTATGGACTCGTAATATATATGAACGTGCAATTAGAGAGGAGTGGATTTTACTGATCGACGCAATGATGATGCATAAAATCGTACGAGCAGTCTTGATTGCGTATCGGCCCTGCTACTGCCTAGCCCAGCCAGTTGAGTCCAGAACACAAATAACAGCCTCGGCAATATGAATCATTATTCACAAGCACACTGGGTTTTCATACAAACCAAAGTAATCAATAAACTGATTATAACTCAAGAATCGTATGATAATAAATCAAAGATCAAAATAAAGCTAATGATAAGAGAAATACGAATATAAATAGTTCGGTTACGTAATAATTGTACAATAGGAATTAGGCATATTACATTGATCCATAAATAGACCTAAAAGTTACCATTCGTAATTCACCGGGGGATATAACACTTTTTAATCCATATATATTGGTTGTGCAGATTGTCTCGATATTGTCAGTAAGTGACGTGCATTCTAAACAGAGATGGACGGTTCTTAGCAGTGGAGTCAAGGACTCGCGTTTCACCCTATTTGGGACTCATCACCCCATTGCACAAACCCGTGGCCACTTGGACTCAGTAGATGAGGGAATGAATATCAACTCTGGGATGCAGGTATATCCAGCTGATTAATCCCGCATAGGATGAAACACACGTCCTAGATTCCATTGCTAACCTCCACCCATCTCTCTTTAATTATCAGAAAAGATAATTTTATCCATATTGTGTACGTCATCGTCAACATATTAGTAACGTTCACAATAACATTTCTCCATATAGTTCATTTAACTTTTAAATTTTCAAAAATGGCATCTGTACAAGAATTAATAATGGTTATCACTTGAGTAGTTGACTGAATTAATAAATGGTAAAATATTCTAGACCATAATTTCGTATCAAGGAATTTTAGTTACTGCTTTAAGTGCAGTTTGAGCGATGAGTAATTTATGCACGATTTATTCCAACCGGTCGTCATTACATATATTCGGTCTAACATCAGTTAAATGTGTTGTTTAATGAAGTCGATATATCAGTAGTTCTTAAAGTTGTTTTATAGCTTCATCTTATTTTAAATCTTTATAAGTGTGATACTAAATCGCGCATAATTTGGTATTCTTCCCATTTCAATCATTTCTTTATTAGTGTATAGAATTTACCTTTGTTATCATTTCATTTCTTGTTCATTCCACCCTTTCAGGTCTCAGTCATCGCATCCGGGGAAAGTTATTCAGATAGCTGAGAATCCTCAAGATTCTAACAAGATTCTTATTGGTTATTCTTCGGGGTTTCTCGTATTATGGGATCTAAAAACCAAACAGGGTGATGCTCGTTTCAAACACACAGATGTAAGTCTGTTTTATTTTTATTTTCTGTTCCTAACGTGATGTATTGTGCATGTTTTCAAAATTAAGGGGTGAATATAACGTTTTTTCTCACGAGAAACATAGTCCTGCCCTAAAATAACTTGAAATTGTGGTTGATTGATGGACTGTGACACCTGACCGTAGTTGCTACCTTAACCGCAAGGATGAGACAGATTACTTAAGCGAATAACAGTCCTAGACAAACAGGAATATGAAAAGTTGTATAAATTATAATCGCGCTACTAAAGTAGACAATATATTTCAGTTCTTCGTTAACACCGATGTACTGTTTGAAGCACTTAGAAAAACGAGTAGCTCTGGAACCAGAGAAATTATTGCTACACATATTCGATCAGACGAGTTTTCGGGAAACGAGGTTCTTGACACGATACTCAAGAGCTAGTAAATTAATTAACCTAGACATTCGATTATCTAGTTTACTGGGAAATAAAATGCTGCGTGTTAATACAAGTAAAGACGGAATCTTGATCCACTTTCAGATCGGTTTATTCAAAGGATAGGCAAAACAATTCAGCGAATAGCTCAACTAGCATCTATCTACTTCACTTATCCCAGACCGTAGCTGCTGCTTTAATGTGATGGTCAGATTTGTCTATCATAAAGACCCCGTTGAGCTTTATCAGATAGAACGGTTGTTTCTTTAGATCCTACCATGCCCGACAGGCCGGTTAGGGAACAGTAAAACTGAGAACAGCAACTCAAGTTCCAATAGCGAATTCGTACTGCTGACTTTACAGGGTGTGACAGCAATAAGGTGTTTCCTTCAGACAACCCGCATCTGCATTGATGCTGCCTCAATAGAAGGAAGGAGTTAGAAAAACCGAATGATAAAAATGCCACGTTTCACCTTACCCTCTGCCGTTTTGTTGCCAGCGGTAAGGCTTTTGGAAGTACACGACTAACACATCGAAAACTAACCACAAAAAGCTTTGCCTGACCGGTTTCAAACAACGGTCCCTCGGGGTATACGGTCACGTTGCCTTGTTGGTACGACCACTACTAATCGGGTTTCTTTCTCAGGTTCCTTAAGGAAGGAACATCCCTCACGATAAGGTCAATCGAAATCTGACAACTGTTCTTGTACATTTAGTAGCACATATCACCCTGTTCATAACCAATCCCTATCTTCATCACGGGATTTTACACATACTTCCATTATCAACCCTCATCATCTGCCTTTTGCCTTTTCGAAATGTGCTGCGATTGCTGACTATTCAAGTTCACAAATTGCTACCACAGGTCTTCTGGAATCGCACTGTAAACTGCATATTGGAGATTTTAATATTCGAGCCCTATGTCAAACTGCACAACAGACATCACCAGCTATGATCTTGTAGTCTCTTGCCTTAGATATATGCTGTTTCTCCGAAACACGCATAAATGATCCAAGTGTGGTCATTCACTCATCTAGTCGTCTAGTCAGTATGGATAGGCAACGGGACATTACCTTCGTGTATATAGAGACATGATGGCAACTTTTTGTGGTCTTGCCGGTGTAGGTATAGATCAACAGACACACCTCCCTACTGGACTTATGTCGACGGTCACTTATTTACTGTCCGTCTCAGTATCACTATTAGAACTCCGTGAGACAAACACACGCCATCGCCTCTTCTTTATCCCTACCTACGATTCCACTACGTGGAGCTCAGGTAGTGTAAAGGATGAGTTTTAAGGAAAACTTCATGAATTCCTTCAGAAAGGTAGACACTCAGAGTTAGTAGTTATAGCATTCAGGAGATCTTAACACCTAGGGCTAAGTGAAACCGAAAAACACTTGGGTGGATGACATGGCGTACCAACCCAACGAACGGGTAATTTATTCATTTATTTGAACATATAAATATTGGTACAAGGAAACACCAAATACATATGCGTCACACAACAACAATCAGGTTGTGAAGAGGTAGAGAATGAAGGGTGAGTATAATAAAAAGAACAACAATGAACGTAAACTAATCTACCAGAGTTAAATAATAATAATATTAATAGTACCAATAACAATAACAATGGGCGAAGCACTTTAGTTAGGAAATATACAACCAGAAAGAATTCTTCCAGTTAAAGAAGATATATTCAATTTTATGAAAAAAGTGAAAAAAGTTACAACAAGATCGACAGTGGCTTCTATTCTGAGCCATTTCCGACAACGTCTCAAGCCAGTGTTGCACCATCTGTAAGATCATAATCAGGGAGTCGTGAAGGATAAACAAATATCAATCCTGTACAGCTTTTTTTTTCATGCCACGACACAATGTCATACACTGACTACTTCTCCACCTTTTCCAATTAGTCTGGGCATCGGCAAATATTGCACGATGTGGAATTCACCGGAACGACATTTGTAAAACACGTCCAAACCACCGAGGTCGATGTTTCAGGATGATGACACCAATTTTATTATGGTTGCTGTGCCCGAGCTTTCGTTGCCGAACCTCTGCATTACATGATGTTGCCGCTGGATGTCAGCAATCCTTCGGACACAATGATGATCAAACATAGAGAGTCGTGTAACATCCTCAACCCGGAGAGACTAGGTTTCACAGGCATGTTGTAGATCCAAAGTTTTGCACTCATGCTAATATCACAGAGGCTATAAGCCTCTCTGGCTTTCACTATACGTGAATTGATCTCATCACTCACGCCATCACCATCACTTACTCAGCTACCCAGACACACGGACTTCTCGATTATTTCTATCTGCTCACTACCCAAGGTGAGTGTAGATTCAGTGTCCTGTCCGTCTTGTAGAAGCTTTTTACACTTAGAAGATGGAAAGCACACACCATACCTGCGGACACAGATTACCGACTGATTACGTGTGAATTGCATGACCTGCGTATCATCGCACAGTCAGACAATAACATCCGCGTACTTAAGCTCAAAAAGTCTTTCTCCAGGCAAGAGATCCACATCACCATTACCTATATCCATCAGAGCTGATTACAACATGTCATCGATAGAAAGGTTGAAGAGCAACGATGAAATTGGGCAACCCTGTTTAACTCCACTATTTGAATAAACCACTGGGGGAAGGTGGTTGTATGCCTTAACTCTGTCTCAGGTGTTTGTATCAAGGCCTTCAAGAAGTTAATGAACTTCTCAGACCCACCCTTCCTCAATAGACATTTATTTGTTTATTTATTTGAACACATAAATATTGATACAAAGGAGGAACAAGATACATATGCGCCATACAAATCTCATTCGATTTGCTTGAGGGCTGTGATACTGCCCAGGTGCCCGAATTGAAGCAGGTGGTTTTCTTAGGTGGCCACACCCGGAGCCTTTGACCAAAAGATCTGATCCACAAGGCAGTGGAGCATTGTGATGAGATGCAGTCCCATGGTAGCCGGTGTCCAACAACTGGTTCATACGCCATTTGTTCCGTCAGGATACTGGAGCCCATGTGCACCATTGGTTTGGAATCAGGGTTTTCCAACTCTCCTAGGTGGACTTTCCGTGTTCACCAACCTGGTTTAACCGCCTGACGTTCTCTTTCCTTCCTTTCAAATTTTGTAAACAACAGTAATGCCGCGAGAAGGCGGTGTGTATGACTTTCCTGACAGTGACTCTGAGAGTATTTTGAGAGGGAGAGAAAGAGCGAACTATCTCCAACCTCGGCCGTACCAGGGCATTTGGAGAAAACAGTCCTGTCTAACAAATCGAATGTGATCCTGATGTCAGGAAACACTTGGATTGTTGGCCTATAATAAGTATGACGGTTAATAATAAACATATATTTTGTTATATCCCAATGAGTAGATAATCGTATTTCTGACATTTTGTGACTTAATGTAAGTAAATTTACTCTGAAGAAGCGGCTTACATTAAGTCACAAAACGTCGGAAATACGATTCTCTACTCATTGGTGTATAACAAGAAATTTATATATCATTAACTTTCTTCCTAATGCTCAGTTTATTTGAAACTGTCAAGTCCAACATTGACATTGATACTTACAAAGTATCAAGGTATTCAAGGAAATTCATTGTCTAACCTGGTGGTCACCCAACATCAGCAAAATAATGATTAGAAATATATCATATTGCCATTGACCGTAGTTTCAAAGACTCAATAGGAGACTGCCGTTCTTACTGGAGTACATGCTTGAACCCTTGTCCTGTCCTAATGAGAGCACAGATTTGTATACGTTTCACTGAACGTAGGAAAGTCACGACAGAAAAGTCTCTTAGACATCGATTCGAAGATGTAGAGGTCAAGAATGTTTTCAGGGGAGAATTTACTAGGTATCTAGTCGATCGCAGAGAAGTATTTCATCCCAAAGAAGCTTGGTAAGATCAGAGCAGCTGTAAATACAGCAGTGGTGTCTATAAATACACTAAATGAAAAGGTTAGGAAAGACCAGTGAAATTCATCGGCATCCAATAAATTGGTAGAGGCTCGAAAACTCATCCGGGCAAGCTTGGTGAACAATAAAGAGTTACGATAACTCACGTAAACTGACAAAAGGCCAATGCAATTAACATGAACGGTAGTGGGTAGAGAGATTAAGGGAGATAAAATGGGCAACGGGAATAGATAACATGAGTTAACTCTACTGGGTGGTCAAGAAAACAAACGTAGAAAAGCCTTATGTTAATAATGTCCTCCTATAAATATTATTTTCTTCAACTTAGCTTTCTGGATTCGATCTCGTACGTATCGACTTCGAAAACCTAAATGATATGGTCCTGTTTGGTGTAGCGGCTGACAAAATGCGGTCTTCTGATCCCATTAAACAACAATGTCAGGATGTTTGTATTGCGTTCATCTCTCTCAATATGCAAAATATTGCTTCAAGGCTGGTCTGCATCAACCCCTAGGCTCATGATAGGAAGTACGATAGTTGAGTGCGTCGGTCGTCTTTCTTATTTTTAGAGTTATCATCCCTGGTGGGTTGGTGTCTGAGGAAATCATTGCATGAGCCTGGAAAGCTCGGTTGCCTTTCGTTAACTTGCGGCGTAGGCGAGATGTCCATCATTAGCCTAAGTGGCAAGTGTTCTGAGCAACAGTCCGCTGTTTAATTCGTTATGGCTGCGAAACATACTCTGCGAAAGTAAAAGACTGAAGGTCTCTTCAAACTATTGCTTGTATTTTGTTGAATGATCGAGTGAGTAACGTTGAGAACAGACATAGGGTACTTGATCAAATCGACAAATCGGTTGATGGGAGAGTAAATTTTCATAGACTGAAATAATTAGAACATGTGCTATACATGCCTAGGCATCACCTACCTCGACGTCCTACGTTATCTTGTGTGGATGTAGGCTGGATGAAAGATAAGAGGCCTTACCTTTATTTACCACCGGTTCATGAAATCACTAACTATCATTCTCAGTCATGGTATTAAATTCAAACTACATAGTTGATGTTCGCATAATTGTCGTAACCAATTGTCGAACACTTTTGGTGACACGTCACAATCGTTTGAAATGGCCCATTCACTCGTTGTCTTCCTCTCGATCTTGAATTCTAGTATCCTTTCGTGAATACCTTTCTAATCTGTCTTTCTAAACTATATTCCTAAGGTTTAGTTTTTTTTAGCATTATTACTGCGTTATTTCGATCTCTTTTGTTATTTCTATCTCGTTATGATATTGCGATATGGCAACTTTGGCCAACACATCGATGTGTAAAACTCTGTGTTGGTAATGTCTGTCCGTCTGGACTTTAGCGGCTCATTATGTTTAACCCAATGGTTAATTTTACTATCATGGTGATGATTTGTCTTATTCTTTCAAAGAATCACTATTAATATTTACCGTTTACTTACTGCGAATCCTGTTCGTTAAAAAATGACTTTTTATAGTGTCATTTTTCTTATTATATAGTTGGTCATAGTATCACTGGTAGCATTTTAGCACATTTGTCGTTTTTACATGAAAACTGTATTTTTTACCGTTATTTTCTATCCAGTGATTATCTTAGTATACGTTTTTTGTAGAGTTTGTATAGTGTGGTCTGGCACTGGGATGGAAAAAGTTTCCTTACTTCGCATAATCATGGTTTACTTGCAACTTGGTTAATTCGTCAACCACAACGTCCAGTTTCTGTGATCTGCCCTCATGGTAAGATGTCTCTTTATTGAGTGAATTATTGTGATAACCTATTGCATAAAATATCATTCTCATGCTGTCAAACGCATTGAATTGAAGTAACAGCTAAATGGATTTGTTGCGCTAATTTAAATTATTCATTTTGATGTCTTGTAGATTCAACATCCTGTTATTATTTTTTAGTTCCTAAATCTGCTTATTGAAAATTCGTTGAAAGTAGTTGTGATTTCCTCATCGTTACATACTTTCTGTAACTAAAGCATGCTTTTCTGTGGGAAATATCAATTTGTTTTATTAATACAATTTCTTTCGATTTCATACTCTGAAGGATTCAGTAACAATTTGGTCCGTCTTTCGTTGCTCTATACTTATTACTGTCATTTCTTGAACATTATGTCCTGATGAACTAAGCTAGGTTTAACGAAGCTCTAGTAACGTTTGTTCATTTTTTAGCTATAGCTTTGTTTATCCTGTATATTTCTAGGCTATCAAGGTATAATATCATTTTTCTTAGCTTCCCTTTGCGCTTGTTAGAAGCTCTGACGCAACAGCCTAACATTCACTGCTCGAGTTCACAAGCATTCCAGAATTCTATTATGACCTCAAATGTGGAAATACATTTCTCACATGGTTGAAACGTTGGGAAGACACATTTAGAATAGAGTTCTGTAAACAAGATGACGCATGGAAGACTCGACTGTTGATGCGCAGGTTGGGAAGTCATGAACATGCACGCTATGCTAAGTTACCTCGAGAGTTCAGTTTCGAGGACACAGTATCTGAGGTGTCAGAGATATTCGGTGAATCTTCCTCATTGTTTAGTATTCGCTATCAGTGTCTTAATTTGGTGAAACGACAAGCCGATGAATATGGTGCTCTAACAGACATCGTCAACAGAAAATGTGAAAGGTTCAAGTTACGCTCGTTAACAGAAGATCAATTTAAATGCCTTACATTCATCAAAGCTCTTCAGTCAACACAAGATGCTGAGATTAGAACCAGACTTCTAACTCGTTTGGATCAAGATCCTAACATCACACTCCGAACGTTAACAGATGAGTGTAAGCGGCTACAGAACACCAGACACGACAATCAGTTAATTGAACAGGTAAATCCTAATTTAACCTGCAGTAGTGTCAATGCTATTACTAGGTTAACAGTTCAGAAACCGAATACAAGTAGTAGTAAACCATTGACTGCATGTTGGTTATGTGGTGATTAGCATTATGTACGATTTCGCCCATTCAAGAAACATAAATGTCAGATGTGCAACAAACATGGGCATAAAGAGGGTCATTGTCCTCCAAATCGAACGTCCCAGCCTAAGCAGAAACATAAACGTCCTCGACATGTGAAGTCAGCCGAATCTAAATCACTTTCTCTGGTAACAGCCTTCCAAACAGACTATGACATTCGGAGAAAGTATGTTAAGATCCAGATTAATGATATAGCGGCTCGTCTCCAAATCGACACAGCATCCGATATCACCCTAGTGTCTAGAGAAACGTATAACCTGCTTGGGAAACCGCCAATGAAGCCATCCAAGAAAACGGCTAAAAACGCATCTGGAGGTGTACTGAAACTAGTTGGTGAATTACAGTGTGAATTTTCCTTCAATGGAAATAGCTGTAAAGGGGTATGCTATCTAACAGAACGACCAAACCTTGATCTTCTTGGTCTAGATATGTTAGAAAAATTTGGACTAGTGGATATACCCTTCAACAGCGCTTGTAACATGTCGTGTCCATCATTAGACACCGATTCACATGCAAAAATGACAGGTAAAAAGGTTCCAGAAATACGGAATGTAGTAGCAGCGGCAATTCGAAACACTCCAGTTTCGTCAGATGAAGTTAGAAAAGAGACTCTTCGAGACCCTGTTCTACAAGAAGTTAGAAAGTTCCACCTAGAAAGGTGGCCCTCGAAGATCAGTTCAACAGAGCTTCAGCAGTTTTATCAGCGCAGACTATCTTTTTCAATCATCGATGATTGTCTCATGTTTGCTGAACGTGTCATAATCCCAAAAAAGTTGCAATCAGCAGTCCTCGAACAGCTGCATGGAGGACATCCCGGAATAAACCTCATAAAAGCGCTAGCACGAAGTTATGTATATCAGCCACAATTAGATACCCAACTCAAGCAGCTATCCCGTTCGTGTACAAAATGTGCATCGGCAGCAAAAGCACCACGAAAAGCAGAGCTGCAATCGTGGCCGATACCACAGTCACCGTGGCAGCGTATACATTTAGACTTCGCTGGTCCATTCCATAGACAAACTTACCTTCTGGTAGTTGATGCATACAGCAAGTGGCCGGAAAATTTCATCATGGGACATCCAACAGCAAGCTGCACAGTTAGAAAACTGCGGCAATTATTCAGTCGTTTCGGGGTTCCAGAACAAATAGTCAGCGACAACGGCACACAGTTTACATCATCTATCTTGTCAGAATTTTGTCAGCAGAACAGAATCAGGCATATTCGAATGGCCAGGTAGAACGTTTTGTTGGTACGTTCAAAAGTGCTCTGAAAAATCAAGAGGGGGAGGGGGACACCGAAGAGATCTTAGATTGGTTCTTGTTTACCGTTCTACACCGAACCATCAGACAACAAATAGGGTCTCTCCAGCGGAAGCGTTACGTACACATTTTGGCAGCATTCGTCCGACTCCAGCTCTTAAGCCGCAACGAAATGTGATGATGGAGAAACAGTACAATCGTCATCATGGGGCACAAAAACGATTGTTCAGCGTGGGTCAAAAGGTACTTGCTATGGACTATCGAGGAAAACATCCTACATGTATGGCTGGTCGGATCGTACAAAAGGGAGGAACTGTGGTTTACGAGGTGTCCGTTGGTTCAGAAGTCTGGGTACGTCATGCTAACAACTGAAATCAACCTCGATCTTCAACAACGAAACGCAGCATAGATTACCTCTTGATGTTCTGCTAGACACATTCGAGATCAAAGCACCTGAAACAGACATGACAGTCAAGGTACAAACGAAGGATAATACAGCATCATTATTATCTAGAAGGTGGACAAACCAGAAGCACAAACCAGAAAAGCGGTTGTAGGTGAACCCTAATACCAGATCCTACGAATCTGCTCAAAGGGGAGGTATTAGCGGGAAATAAACCGGATTAAGGCATGTTATGTGCATGATCGTAATGGCGCATGCTGATTGGCTAATTCTAAACCAATCAGCTCTGGTACATTATTGGAGAAGCATCTAGAAGCTTCTTATGCATATGCTATAAATATATGAACGCTTTTCTAACGATTGATTACTGTTTACCTACCCTTGTTATTTTGAATACAATTTCGTTCCTGTTCAACGTGTTCTGATTTTGGGGTCTTGTCAAGTGTCATTGTATAAGAATACTAAGCAATAGGAGTAGCTGGGTCGTTTATTAGCAAAACAATTATAACAAGTCATATTTGTAATAACTGAGCTAAATAAACTAATATTGGTTTCTGGAGAAGTCATAATGTGTTCATAGCCATATTCAAGCTAAAATAACAATTTTCAGTAAGCTTACATATCTGTTCTCGTTCTGATACTTTGTGTAATACGAAAAAAGTTACGAAGTTAGAATTTTTAGATTTCATTAACTTTATACATAAACTCTTACCTTTTTTATGCCTACCATTTGTTAATCTAGAAGAATCACTGTCGTACTAGCTTTCGTTTTCGGCATTTTACATCACTTTTTTTTACAGTGAGCCATAGCTTAACAATGTTTATCTAGGGCGTATTATTGTTTATGGGATACTGGAATCGGTGAGTGAACAATATATGGTTTATTTTCAATGAGAGCTGCATGTATGCATCCATGGTACTATTAAAAAGACAGTAACGGATTTTCTGCACTTATCTGTCATCCAGAAGTCACATTGGAAGATAGTAATTCTGATGTCAAACGGAGTGAAAGGATGTCTTTAAACTTTTCAATGGTGTATGTGATCATGTTTATTTCTAATATACTTTAGTCCGTGTTTCTAAGGTTCTTTTGTAGCATGACAATGTCGCTGTCGGCATATCACTTATTGTCTTGTATGCTAGATATGTGATTTATTATTGAAGATAACTGCAAGAGAGTGTTGCACAAGCATGAATATTGACTTACATAGATTGAATGTATTTGTTGGTTGTTATTAGGTCTAATTTTAATTTTTTTTTACCTCGTAAATTACCTCCTCTTTTGTCGACTTCCAAGCACATTAATCCATGGAAACCTCCGTAATATGGTTTGAAGTTTTCATTCGTTTTTAAAATACTATAGTGCCCCAAAATGCCCTGGTGCGGCCGAGAGTGGAAGAGTCCGCTCTCCCTCTCGAAATGCTCTCACATGGCCACGCGAATATATAGCCTCTGCCAGGGAAGTCCTACTCACTGCCTTCTCGTGGCGGGGGTGTTGCTTACGAAAGTGAGAGGATGAAAAGCGGATGTCCGACGCTTTAACCGGGTTGGTGGACATGGAGGGTCCACCTAGGGGAGTTGGAAAACCCTGATTCCAAACCAATGGTGCACATGGGCTCCAGTATCCTGAGGTAACGAATGGCGTACGAACCAACCGTTGGTCACCGGCTACCATGGGACTGCATCTCCTCACAATGCTCCACTGCCTTGTGGATCAGATCTTCTGGTCAAAGACCTCGGGTGTGACCCCCTAAGAAAACCACCTGCTTCAGTTTGGGCACCTGGGCAGTATCACAGCCCTCAAGCAAATGGAATGAGATTTGTATGGCGCATATGTATCTTGTTCCTCCTTTGTATCAATATTTATGTGTTTAAATAAATAAATAAAATACTATAGTTTGCTAATATAAAATATATCTGGCGGCAGTTTTATGGAAAAGACAAGGTTATTCAACTAAAGATAGATCATGCCGTAGTTACCAATATCTATCAGTATTAGTTTCTCAGTAAATTAAAATTTGATTTCAGCGATTGAGTTGCATTAGCATGGAGATATAGTTCATGTTTATCATTTCCATTATATAATTTATATGAAGTTTACAAAAAATCACCTTATTATCCTCTTATCAGTAATTCACGTAAGTAAAAGTATAATTCATGACGAATAATATATATATATATATATTGTTGGGCTAATGGATCGTTTGGTAAACATTCTAATTTTCTTCTTTCTGTCATGGTTTTCCCTGCGAATTATTATTTCCCTTAACTGGTCTTCTTATTGAGTTTCCGTTCGTATTTTTTATTATCCACACTATCCTTATTATTATTATTATTTTTTTCATATCTCTCAGCCCCTGGTGAAGCGGTTCCAGATGATTATGCATTTTATGAACCGATACGTTTGGTCGAATGGTTACCTACTAGGAATGGGTTAGTTCTTCACGTTTATAATTATTACGAAAATCTTAAGTATAGGAGTATATCGTTTCATCGATTAAATGCTTCATTGATTCCTGGTTGGAAGTATTATATATTGGCACATTTTTGTATATCTCTGTTTTTTCCTCATTTCATAAACCTACTTTGATAAACGATTTATTACTTAGACAACACCAGTTGGATTACTACACGCATTTAGGCCTGTATCGTGTTAGATCGTCCTCCAATTTCTAATACTGATATACGTGATTCAAACACTCGAGATCAACCTTCTAATTGAGTGAAAGTTTGACTGCTTAGCCGAATCTGAATATACACAAAAACTCATCAATATAGATAAAAGTCTAAAATAATCGAGCCAGAATCCAACCAATGGTATGTTTCTGTACCTCTCGGAAGATTGAACTAAAACTCAGCCAATGTCATACACTCGTCAACATCCGTCGCCTATCGTTTGGTCTCGAAACGATAAGTCTGATCACTTAACTCTTCTCAGGACGTAGTTCGCCTGCCAAGGATTTCCAGCTAACTCCTTCCTGGGCTCTTTCTCGTTGTTGTCAAATACTATTCATCGCTTGACGTATATGTCTGATTTCCAGCGTCTTATTTTCCTCGGTCTGTCGCTTTTCAACTTGTCCTTGCGAGTCCAAATTAGGGCTTGCCTTGTGATACAGTTTGATAATTTTCTTGCTTCCTCAACTGGCAGCTGATTTGTTTACCAACAAAGTAGATTAATGTTGATAGTCTCTACCTAATGGATATGAAGTATCTTACGTAGACAGTTTTCTCAAATACCTGTCTTTTTTGGTGATGGTTGCGTTAGTTCTCTAAATTTCAGCTCTGCCCTTTGGATTTGTTTTAGCGTTGATTTTAAAAAACCAAATTCGGTCTCATGTAATAATTCTTTCAAGCTCCAGATATTGCTTAATTTTAGGGATGTTGTTTTTGACATTTGCATCACATCCTTCTTGTTTACCAGTGATGTTTCTCAAGTACCTACAGGCTTTCACCTCTTCCAGAGCTATCCAATAGAGTGATTTGGTTGGCGCTTTTTGTGTCCAACTTCAGTATCTTGGTTTCTTCCCTTGTGGATTTTGAGGCGTACGGCTGCAGAAGCTACCGCTATGCTGACTGTCTTCTTCTGCATTTATTGGTGGGTATGAGATAGCAGGTCTAATTCATTTGCAAAGTCTAAATCACCCAGCTGGGTCCAATGTATCCACCATATTCCATGCTTCTGATGAGGAGTGGAAGTTTTCGCAATCTTATTGACAATGCGCAAGAAGAAAAAACAAGAGATCAGACAGCCTTGTTTGATACCTGCCTTCATTGAAATGTATTTGTAAACTGCCTTCCATGCACATCTTTGTTATTCAGTCTCATAGAGAAGATTCGTATGATGGTGATACTCTTCTCAAGTACATTATAGTGTCGAGAAACATTCTACCATGTCCCCCTGTGCACATTGTCGAATGCTTTCCCATAATCGAGGAGGTTGGTTTGTGATGATGATTGATCTCATAATGTCTTTATTCTATTTGTTAACTCTGACGCTTTTGTATGACACCGTAACTCGTTTATGAATGAAGTGAGATTGTTGTATGAAAAAGATTGTCGCATTTATTAGTTGCCTTTATTGCTTTTATGCGCAATAAATAATAGATAATATATAAATAATATTCCGGGAACAATTATAGAATCCATACCGATTTACATGATTAGCCGGGTTGAAGTAGAAAGCGATGTTACATGTAAAGGGCAAAAATATGAGGTTAAATTGTTTGCAAATATGTGGTTTATAATTTTTGTGACATAACATTTGTCCCAAGGTATAATAATGTGAGGTAGCAGTTGGGAACAAATTATTCTTAGTAAGAGCACTGAAACATCCTGTTGAAGTATGAATAGTGTATCCACTGCAAGTTTCACTGCTTTATACAGTAAATATACTTATGTAGCACTAGAGAAAAGGATTAATGACAAAAAATTATCATGATGGGTTTCCCATGTTTTATGGTCTGCTGATTTGGATAGATATTATTTAAATTTATGGGATTAACCGTTGGTAGTTTGAATGTAAAATATCTGCAAGAGGGGAATTTTAATAAATATTCTTAGTAAAATCTCACCAAACATTTAATGTCCCTATAATTTCACTAATCCAATTGGATAGAGTCACTAGTGTGAGTATTTTTTAGGTAACCATCGATGTAACAAATAGATGACTGTAGTGATTTTATTTGGCGGATAGATAATGATGGTTTATTCCAGAGTTTCGAAAATTTACTTGCTGAGTAATTTTTATAGAGGGAAGTTTTAGAATGAGACTTCTGATATAGAGTTGTTAATGCTGTAACTTGGTGTTTCTACTTGTTGGATTGTATCAGTGTAAGTAAAGATGGTTTATTTGGTATTTTGAAATTGATTTATTTTAACTCTTCACTTCCATAAGGATTTTGTTCAAGCTTATGCATTTAGATTTGTACAATCATTCCCAATAATGCAGTGTGAATTGTTTATCTTTTCTGCTAACACTACTTTAAATTAATGTTCAGTTCACTAGAATTGATTGGAAGCACTGCGCATTAAGATACGTTATGCATTGTTTTAGGTACTACATAGTATAGAATCCAGAAGTCGTTTAAACTGTGTATTGAGACCTGTTCTTAAAAAAAACAGATTGTAGAAATACTGGAGTCTTAATGTTATCTCTATTAAACGTGGATAACATCATACCACTTATGATGAGGTTGAAATTGAGAAACAAATCACGAAAGTCAAACTACCCACAGTTTGAATACTAAATTCCTAAATTCCATTTTGAGTACCACTGGGAAACCTTGTTGAGCTGCCTAGCTATACAGTTTCGCATATAGGTAAGCTTCTGAAGAGAAAATGAACATACTACCTTCAGATCATCTGGATTCAGAAAATGTTTGTACACTCAAAAACAGCTGTAGGAATCTTAGAATTAATACATTTGTAAAGTCTTAATGAGTACAACATTACATTTTTCACAATTCGTGACCTGGTGTAATCGAATTCTGTAGATAATAAAACTAAACAAATTAACACACTTTTTCGGCCCTCAAATGCCCTGCTACGGCCGAGAGTGGAAGAGTCCGCTCTCCCTCTCGAAATGCTCTCACATGGCCACGCGAATATATAGCCTCTGCCAGGGAAGTCCTACTCACTGCCTTCTCGTGGCGGGGGTGTTGCTTACGAAAGTGAGAGGATGAAAAGCGGATGTCCGACGCTTTAACCGGGTTGGTGGACATGGAGGGTCCACCTAGGGGAGTTGGAAAACCCTGATTCCAAACCAATGGTGCACATGGGCTCCAGTATCCTGAGGTAACGAATGGCGTACGAACCAACCGTTGGTCACCGGCTACCATGGGACTGCATCTCCTCACAATGCTCCACTGCCTTGTGGATCAGATCTTCTGGTCAAAGGCCTCGGGTGTGACCCCCTAAGAAAACCACCTGCTTCAGTTTGGGCACCTGGGCAGTATCACAGCCCACACACAAATGACATGAAATGACGCACTACACTAACTACACTGCTCTCGTTCCTAATAGAAGAAAGACAATTTGCATTATTATTATTATTGCCATTATTATTATTATTATTATTATTATTATTATTATTATTATTATTATTATTATTATTATTACCATTATTTACTACGTCGCTTTTTCACTCCCTTTATTCCCAAATTGTGTATCCTTCCTTTCCAACATATGCAGCAGCTCGCTCTTGGTGGAAACTCTGTCCTATCTAAACGATCTCCACTCACTGTCTGGTTCAAAGTGAGTGCTTCCACCGATTACGAATACTGAAGCAGTCTTTCTGAAACCACGTACGCCGTTCAAGCTTGCTTCCTTTAACGTTCACACACTAATGCAGATCGGACAACAGATGGGGATGACTATGTTTTTAGAGTCTTAATGTTGATGTTTGCTGTCTATCCGAGACCCGTATTCAAGACTCTAGTGAAGTACTACAAATTCGCTCTCCATCTGTCGCCTCGAAGAGCTTGTTCCACGTGCGCTTATTCGGGGACTGTGGCATCTTCGTCCGGTCTTGCTGGCGTAGATGTTGCACTAAGCGCTAGAGCTGAGGCAGAACTAATCGATTGGACCCCCATTAACAGTCGGTTATGTGCTGTTATATTAGAAAGTTCCATCAAAGTGAGAAGAAACCGGCGTGAGAAACGGTGTCTTTTCGTCATCTCCGCCTATGCCCCGACAGATTGCAGCCCGGATGCAATCAAGGATGAGTTTTACCACCAGTTAACAGTTCTCCAGAAAGTGCGTTCGACAGATATCGTAGTATTAGCCGGAGACTTGAATGCACAGATCGGGCGTCTAGGCACAGAAGAGAGTCGTTTAGGTGGCCGATGGGGACTTGTTGGTCGCAGGACAGATAACTGGGACCGTTTGCTGCAACTGTGCACAGACTACAATCTGTTTCTGGCTAGCACTAACTTCCGGCACAGTCATAGTCGGTGTGCCACCTGGCGTCCTTCCTCTGCATCTCAAGCCTGGACTCAGATTGATCACATCGCGATCAGCTACCGCTGGCGTGGTTGTGTACAAGACTGTCGCTCCTTTTGGAGTACATATCTGGAGTCTGATCATGCCCTGGTCTGCGCCAATCTCACCTTACTTTTCAGTGGCCGAAGGATTAACCACCACCAACGGATCGATGTTAGTAAACTGGCTGCAACATCTGTTGCAAGTAAGTATCGAGCGGAGCTAGCCTCTAGGCTAGCTACCATCCCACCGAAAAGTATAGATGAGCATTGGTTGCATCTTCACGACGCCATGAAAATGGCGAGTAAAGCCGCTTGCGGCTTCGCGAAACGTCCCGCTTACAAGCACTGGGTTTCTTTTGGCTCCTTACAACTGATCGAAGCCCGTCGGTCTACTCCGGGTGATTATGAGTTTGACCACAAACGAAGGCTGTTACGTAGTGAAATTGGGCAAAG